CAATAAGATGTAATTAGAAAGAAAAAAAACCATACCCAAAGAAAAAAATCATACCCCTGGAGTTTTTATTTCTCATAGAGCAACCTTTACAACGCTCACAATTTACCCAAAAAAGATGGCTTCCTGTATCAATATGCATCATAAATTCTGTGGAGGCATCATCATCGCTATCTCAGTATACCACATCCTTCATTCCAAACCAAAGGAATATAAATAAAAAGCTATAATATAATAAAGATGCAATAAACGACTGAGAGGAGATCAATTTTAATATTTAAGATAATAAATAAACATAATCCATGCTGGAAAGGTTGCCACCCATGAAAATATCTATAGGTTTTCCAGCGAGAATCTGAGAGTGGTGGTGTTGGTCGTGTTTATTGTTATCGTTAACGAGCTTCTGCTTCACTCTGAAAATGCCTCCTCCACCTTGGAAAATGATGGGGTGGGGGAAGATCAAGAGGAATAGGTAAAATGCAGAGAGGAAAGAGGAGATTTTGAGGGAATACATGATTAATTAAACAAGAAAGAAGAAGAGAGAGCGGAGAGATGAGAGTGGAAGAGAAGTTTTTTATTCTGCGGATTCTTTTACTATGGTTAATGCATATATAATCTAAGCGGGTTCTTGGATTGAATGAGCCATGAGGAGATATTCTTGGGAGGAAGAAGAGGGAATCAAATGGAGGAGCCAAAAACCCTGCCATTAGCTAAAAACCCACAATTTCGTAATTTGGAGAGAATGAGAGAAGACAATAAGGGTGACTATATAATTTTGTGTCTAGGATTTTAACTTATTTGTTCCCTAACTCGTTTGATGACCTTAGAAAATTTCCACCTATATGTTTTGATATAGGATAATATCTATAGTAGTCACTTAAACCTTCAATATTTTGAAATAGTCCCTCAAATCATTGAAATTCTAGTAGGCCCAATGTTTTAAATATCGGTTATCAAAATTATATCGGACGGTCAAAATTCATATCAGATCCCGGTTATCGGGTATATACCGGGGATAAGTAGTAAAAATCGGAGTGTCATGTCGGATGGTGAGCATATATAATATAATGTCCTAAAATGTAATCTACACATATTTAATGAAATATCGGGAGAGGGTTTCCAGAGAGGTCGTCGATAGAGGTCTTCGAGTGAGAAATTTGCAAGTGATTAGTGGGAGAAAACGGTGGAGGCTGAGAAAATCTCACTTTGCAAGCAATTTAGAAGAGAGAACTGAGAAGGCTGAGAAAATTAAGGTTACACGACGAGCGAATATAAAATAGAATAGGATAGTACGGTTTCGTTTAGTGGATGGCTGGATGCAGATCGGATATGGAAAAAAGAGGGGTTTTGCCTATAAATCTAAAGCGGTTCACTTAAAATGTAAATTGTAGAAAAGCGTGCGATTTTTAATTTAGGAGAAATCGGCCGCTTTATCGGATTGACGCTGATATATCGCTTTGCGATAAATTTTTGCAAAAATTGTATCGGCCATGACCCTAACCCTATGTATCGGCAATAAATTGATAAAACGGCCTATTTTTAAAGCACCGATTCAGATCCTCCTATTTCTTTAAAATATGTTCCATTGATAGTATTTACCTTATATGTTTTAACCCATTCCCATTGAGTTAAGAGTTAACCCACATGAGTAATTACCAAGTTGCCTCTTAAGTGTATATTTTCCTCAAAAACTTATCCATGTGCAACTGGAGGTTGAAGAAGGTGTCCATCAACAGAATCGTTGGAGGCCCACACTATCATCCTCCACTTGTGAAGGTAATTCTGCAATCTTATCATGCATAAACAGTTGACGCCATATGTAGAAAAACTCTGACAATTCTTGCCGTCCTGACGGACAGACCTGCCAATCTTGATCAGAGAGTTGATTTCTGGAGTATTGATCTTTCAGACCCAGTTTCTACCACAACTGACCTTGCGACCCAAGCCTCGTTTGATCAACTCTCTTAGCAGATCACCCCGTTATTGGGTGTATAGTACTCCCAACTTGCATACATAGTGAATGCCTTAGTAACTTAGCCGCCGCCGCAACAACCACCATGCTCAGTTCTGAAACTCCTGATGTCCAAGCTCGTTCTCTTGCCCTATGTTCCAAATCGACAACATAGGCACATGACTTGGCTGCCAATATATACACAACGGCCCTAATCCATCCTTATGCATCTAAGCCTTGAGAAACCTTTTAAACATCCTCATACGATAGACAATATCCACAGAACAATATACAAGATATGAATAAACAGTCGGAACTTACATATATAGAAACAAGTCTGATACATTGCTGTTCCCTGCAGTCCGATTAGTGATTCATTGGTTGCAATTGGTTGTAAAGATTATAGACAGTCTTTATGGAGGACTGGGGATGAAAACCCATTGTTTAAGCTTCAAGGTTTATTTTTTATTCTTAAGGTGAAATTTAGTGTTTATTAGTGCGAGATTGTTATCAGAAATTTTTTAACTTTAGCTGAAAATTGGAACTTTTGTCCGCTTCCGTAATTTGTTTCATAGTTTATGCTTAAAGAATAGCCTTGCTGATGAAGTAGCTTAAAGATACTATTTTAGAAGATGCTAGAATTTTGTACAAGATTATTACTGATTGGAAATGATGAGTTGATATTACCAATAAAATTAATCTACATGGTGAATATAGAGTAACTAAAAGAATTTACATTTGTATATGTCTACATTCTAATAATTAAGTATGAGAACAAGAGAGAGTATATAATTGCATGCCTGCTCATGCAGATAAGGATGCACTTAACCTGCTCATGCGGACATGGATGCAACTAACCCAGTAACCCCATAACTGTGCAAGTTGTAATGTTTACCTGTGCTTAATATTATATTTTGTTTGTAACTTTCTACAGGAAATAAGCGTTGGTTCCTCATATTTATGCAAAACAGATTAATAGTGTTTGCGGAGTGTTGAGAATTGTGTATGGGGTCTTTACAAAGTGCAGGACAAGTGTTCGAATTGTACAGGTGTTATGAATTAAGGACTATCTGAGAAGTGTTAGCATGTGCAAGGTCTAAGAAATGTACTGTATTCACATATCTATGCGTCCAATATCGACACAGCCCCATCACCTGGTGTATGTGCTGCACATGTTCAGGAACATTTGATAAAAAGTGACTCAAGAAAAGTATTGAAAGATTTTGGACTGTTTATTATACACCAGTTTATTTTGGCTGTTTGGTTGAGGTTTTTGCTCGCAGACATATAGGGTAGGTTTCTGAAAAGGAATTGTTGAATCATGCATCTCTTATTCACTTTGTGATCTTTTAACATTGTAATTATAATGAACTTTGCTCATATTCGATAACTAGGTACTACTGACTCATTGATCTTCACTTATATGCACATGGTGGCACACTTTGCTAATTCTTTCTTGTATTCTGAAAATTTAATTTTATCTATTCTAATTCCGCTTTTTTCTCTGAAGGTCATGGTGACACAGTTTCTACCCTAGCTTTCAGTCCCGATGGACAACTACTAGCCTCTGGAAGTTTTGATGGAACTATTTTAGTGTGGAACTTACAATCTGGGAGTAAAATTGTTTCTCTTGAAGGTTCAGGGGGAAGTGTTGAGGTTTGGCCACTCAAGTTTTGTGACTCTATTTTATTTTAGTAATTCCAATTTTCTATTTTTTGATCAATTAAATGGATTATGTTTCATGTAAATGATCAGTAGGTTTGAGGGTTTCATTAAATTTTTTTGTTCTTCTTTGTTCTTGCTTGGCTCAGTGGCTCAAATGGCATCCTAGAGGACAGTTGATATTAACCGGATCAGAAGATGCTAGTGTTTATTTGTGGAATGCTGAGAAAGGGGTCATGCTTAACACATTCTCCGGTCATGGTAGCAGTGTCACTTGTGGCGACTTTACACCTGATGGTATAAGATAATGATGTTGAGCTTTATTTTTTTTTCACTTTCTATTCTGCTGAATCCTCTATTAATTTTTGAAGGTAAAACTGTCTGCACTGGGTCTGATGATGCATCATTGAGGATATGGAACCCAAGAACTGGGCAGAGTATTCATGCAGTTAAAGGTGTGAAATACTTATGTAGCATTATGCATGGTTTTCAGCTGGTCTCCTCTTTGTGGATTTTGAGCAGTGTTTATTTATAATTTTATCCTTTGAGAACTCTTTCCACTAAATAATGGTTTTATTAATTTTTCAGACTAAAACAATTCTGATAATCCTGATAGGATATCTTCTTTTCCTTGCTTTTGATTTTTCAGTTTTAAGAATAATGCTGGTTTGCACCTTTCCCTGATTTTCCTTCTTAAACCTCAACATACTAATGGATGTGTGATTTTGTAGGTCATCCATATCACACTGATGGACTCACATGCTTATCAATAACTTCCGATTCTACAGTTGCTATTACTGGATCGAAAGATGGTTCGGTTCACATGGTGAACATAACGACTGGGAGGGTGGGTTTAGTATAAATTTCATTTGACTATTACTTAAAACAAATATTTCAAAGCATGTTTGATTTGGATACATTAGTTAACTTCTCAATTTCAAAATGGGCACTGCATACTTCTCTTTCATATATGTATGTGTGTGCGTGTGCGTGCGTGTGTGGGTGCATGCGTGTGTGTGTCGGCCCGCGCGCGCTCGTGCGTGCGC